AATACAGTGGTGCCTCACAAGACAAACTGTGCTGGAGGAGTCTCTTGAGAGTCCCCTGGACTGCAAAGAGAACAAACCTATCCATTTTGAAGGAAATCAACCCTGAGTGCTCACTGGAAGGACTGATCCTGAAGCTGAGGCTCCAGTAAATGCATAACTTCAGTGCGAAGAGCTGGAAAAAAGTGCCCGGAATAAGCTTTTCAAAGAGGTGAGGCTCCAGTAAATGCATAACTTCAGTGCAAAGAGCTGGAAAAAAGTGCCCAGAATACGCTTTTCAAAAGTTTCAAGAGGTAGTTGTGTCAGTGTGCATGTGCAAGTATAACAAGCAAAATCCAAAGAAACGTAACAAAGCAATACATTATTTTCACAAATGGACTGTAAAACAAACACAGGACTAATTACTGCATGTAACCAAGGAGTATTTATTTAGAATGTGAAACAGATGTTTTATCTACATTTCATTCAATTCCATTCTGTCCCTTAATATCTGACCAAGTGGACATGTCCACAAAAATTTACGCTAAAATATAACAATTAGTCTTTAAGGTGCCACATGTTTTGTCTCATTTTTTGTTTATTGTTTTGCTTTGTTTTGTTTCTTTGGATTTCACCTTTTTATATAGAAAACTGATGCAAAAAATAGAGTGAATTTGTTATGTATTTATTTGCAAAAAGCAGTGAGAAATGCTAAATACAGTGGTGCCTCGACTTATGTACGTGCCTACTTACTACCATTTTGAGTTACAACCAGCTCCAACCGCAAAATTTTGCTTCGACTTGTGGCGAGAGCTTCTACTTACAAACAGAAAAAGGCAGGGGGAAAGAGGGGGAAATTCAAATTGCTAACTGTAGCTGACGATGAGGCTGCTTCTTTGTAGCTCTTTTGACCTGGCAGTTAGAGAGTGTGAGATCAGAGGAGCTTCCTGGTAAGGTAAGGTGCTGCTTTTTGCTTTTTAAAAACTGTTCTGGGTGGGTGTTTTTGCAGCGTGGTTTTGGGCTGGGGTGATTGTTGTTGTTCTGTTTTTTGGTGATTTTTTTTGCAGCCCCAGTACCTTCTGACAGGGCTTACTCCTTTATTTTTGGTTTGTTTGTTTTTTTAAAAAGCCCCAGCACCTTCCGATGGGGCTTTCTGTGTGCTTTATTTTTATTTTTTGGTATTTTTTTAAATGCTGGAATGGATTAATCCTGTTCCAATGCATTTCAATGGGAAATGGTGCTTCGACTTGCGACCAATTCAAGTTATATCCATCTTCTGGAACGGATTATGGTCGTAAGTCAAGGCACCACTGTATGCACAGCAGCAAGATTTTAGGAATAAAATTCAGGCATTATTAAAATTTTAAATGTATCACTTTAAAGACTTCTCAGATTTACTTTACTTCTATCTATGAAAAACAAGTTCTTTTTCCCAGGGGGGAAAAAAGGAAGGGAGTGGGTTCCGAGTCACGAGTTGTGTCCGAGTCATGGGGAAAAAAAACAAAAACCTGGAACGGATTAGTTGAGTCACCAGTGCAACTTAAGGGAACTTAAGAGAGGGAAAGGCCTCTCCTGATTAACTTAATACGCAAGCAAGCTCATAAAAGGAGACATGGTCCATGAGATAACTTGGACCCCGGCCATTTAGAGCTTTAGAGGTTAAAACCAGCACTTTGAATTCTGCCCAGAAATGAATTGGCAGCCAGTGGAGCTGCTGTAATAGGGAGGTTATTTCATCTCTTTAACCCGTGCTAGTCAGCAATCAGGCTGCAATGCTTTGGAGGAGCTGACTTTACCAAGGCAAGTGTCACCGTGGTCAGATGAGAGCTCTCCAGGAATGGTTGTAGTTTTAACTCTACAAAGGCACTCATGGCCACTGGCAAAACCTGGGCATCCAGGCTCAGAGGTGAATCCAGGAGCTGTGTACAAGTCCCATCCCAGCAAGGATACCATGGTTGATGGTATTGAAAGCGTTGGATGCTCAAGCAATCTAGATCTAAATTTCAAATGGGAAGGGCCTGCAACACAAACTAACTTGTTTGCTCATTTGTTTGCATGCTGACCAATTAGTGCGAGTCAGTTGTTCCCGCGTAGGGAGGCTCCACCCCTGTTTCCGGCCCTCCTGGCCACGAGGCGATTGAACCACCATTGTTGGTAAGCATTCTTGCACACGCTCTTCACCTGGAAAGATGTAAGAACTCCATGCCGGCCCACTGAGCCTGGAAATCCCTCCAGCCACGTGGGGCCAGAACAGAAGAACATTGTATTTGCTGTTTCTTTCTGTATCTACCTGAACCCTTCTAAATGCTTATCTACGTGAGTAGAATATAGATTTCTTCCTTTTATACAAAAAAGGCCTCCTGATTTTTAAGTGCTAGTGTTTGGTGAGGGGCGGGTATAAAAAAGGGAAACTTCTTACTAATTCTGCCCAACCGGCTGGCACTTCTTGCTGCACATTTTTACTGGAATTCACACGGGTTTCAGTACCAAACTCTCAACAGAAAGCCACTGAGAGGTCCAGCAGAACCAAAAGAGGCATAGAATTTCTTCTATGTATGTGAGTGGTCTCAGTTGTGGGCTGAAGTTGATAACTAATGTTGTTTGGTCATTTTCAATTCTGCATCTGTTTTGCTTTGGGCTGCTTCTGGGTACCCCTCTTGTCTGATCATCTTTCTCATTTACTTTGGCTGTTCCGACATATCCGGTTTGCTGCACATCCAACAGAATGTTGTTCGGCACCTGGCTGAACTGGCTCTGAACTCATTGTCCAAATAAGCACAATCTCCTCCATCGCCACGAACTTCCAACCTGAAACACAAGCCAAAGTCACCAAAAGATGCAGTGTTTTTCACCCTTTGGAAAACAGACACAGTGATATCTTAGGAGAGTGTGGTTCACAAGGTGGAAAACATATACATAGACTGGAAAGATTCTACAGCCAGGGTTCCCTGTCAAAGCAACATGTTCAGTCCCTTTAGGTTTCTACTTGCTAAGTATATTCTATACTTGTTCAGATTTCCCAGGCTTCCTGATATATCACTTTTGTGCATAGGTGGTGTAATTTGGTCTACAAGCTCACCATTGCTATGTTAATTATTCAAATTTAGATCTCAAAGTAAGAATTCAATTTGGGCAAGGTTGCAGTCCTAAAGACAGCATTTTGAGAGTGTAATCAGACAGCAATATGAAGATCATGTTGGACTGGACCAGAAAGGTTCACTTTGGTGGGTGTGATGTTTAAAGCTACCCTGCAGAAATGATCCTTCTGTCCAAATACAATCAGGTGCAAATTGCTCCAGCCAGCTCAGACAGAGAGAGAAAGAGAGGGGGAGGGGAGGGAGGGAGAGAGAGAAAGAGATATCGAACAGCCCAGCTGTTGGACCAAAAAGGTCTGGATTGAGCATGGAGCAGCATTGGGTTCATTCACAATCTCCTGTGTGCAATATTATCTGGTAACCAGAAAACAGACTGAACCAGACCATGCTGTAGGCACACCCAAAAGTGAACTAAATGACTGCCTAATCACACCCTGACACATAAAGCTGACTGAGAACCAAATGAGGTGCTACAGTCAACACAGCCTTAGTGGCAATGCTTTCTTAAAAGGAAAGACTGCCTGTTTATTTGGAGTAAGCCCCAATCTGCATTTGCATCAATTAGCTTACTTTTGTATTGCATTTCATCAGCTAGGAGAGGAAAAGGTTTCATTTGCATGCCTGATGTCTCCAGCAATAAGAGGAGAAAAAAATGTGCATTTCCTTGAATGTGTGATGTGACTCCTACTGTTAAATGATTTGTGTCTCCAGGTCAGTGAAGTCCATTTTGACTAATCTGGCAGGATGCACCTTCCCAACCCTGCTATCAGAGATGCCCTGCTAAGATCCTGAGGACAGAATCTGGGAACATCTATGGGTTATCAACCATAGGGGTCCACGGGGTCACGAAGATTCATACACGACTTAACGACTAAATAACAACAACTGGGTTTTCAAAACCTATTATTGGTAGTATCATGAGCCGTCCCTTAAATATGAGCTGTTGAAAACAGAAGTTGATGCTACACCTCCTTTTGGTGAGCAGAGGTACACTCTGTTGCTGCTGCCTCAAGTAAGTCTGCCATCATGACGTGATGGTATCATACTGGGCAAAGAGACCACAGCTGGTAAAATTGCAAGAAACATGCTAAATTTTCTGTATATCTCAGAGATTATTAGAGAAGTAACTGAGAAAACAGCTCAAAGGAAGAAGAAAAATAGCTCACCACAGGCATGAATGGAAAAGAGCCAACCTCTTCATAGTGACTTAGTGTAGAAATCAGACTATGCTTGCAATGATATGGAGAAAAAGATGCATCTAGGGTAACCAATATCTTAACTTCCAAGAAAACATTAGGAAGAGGTAGTAGTAATGATATTTTAATTTCGCTTTTCAATAGAATGTGAAACTTCGGCCTTTCTCCCCATCTGCTATGGTTTTCCACATGTGGAAATTGTGGCATTTTCAGGGGAGGCAAAGTTGCCACTGCCGCCTCATTTGCCCAAGATATAGCTGATTGGGGCAAACACACATTCAAATACAGTGGTGCCCCGCATAACGAGCGATCCGTTTAACGACGAATCCGCATAGCGATGTGTTTTTTGCGATCGCAAAAGTGATCGCATAGCGATGTTTTAAATGGTAAAACATCACTTTGCAATGATCGGTAAGTGTTTCGCTTACTGATTATCGCATAACGATGTTTATCCAACAGCTGATTGCCGGTCCCAAAATGGCCGCTGGGTAAAGAAAATGGGTGCCCGCTGTGTTTTCACGCCCTTTCCTCGCTTACTGGGCAGCGAAAATAGCGGCCGCATGGAGGATTTTCGCAGAACGGTTAGTTTTTTGCCCATAGGAACTCATTAAACGTGTTTTAATGCGTTCCTATGGGCTTTTTTGTTCCACATAGCAACGGATCCAATTTTTTTGGAATGGATTATTGTCGCTATGCAGGGCACCACTGTAGTTGTGTGCCTTATTCCCACCTACCTTCATTCTCAGCTTCTGATTCCCCCCTTCTCACTCATTCTCTCCTTCCTTGAAAAAAACAGTCTTCTTTAGCTTCACCTTTTGTTCTTTTGTGAGCAAACCCAAGACAGAATATTTACATGTGAGAGGTTCTGGTAGCAGAGAAAGATGCTGGCCTCTTGGCAGGATGCAACCCATCAGAGGCCTTCCTCTGATGCAGGGGTGGTGCAGACCACAGAAGTGTGCATCTCTGCCATGGAAGGTTCTGGCCTCCAGCCTTCCTCCAACTTGTTCGAGCAGAACGTTGCTCCTGCCTGCTGTTCTTACCAGCAAGGTTAACAACATGGAATGATTACAACTCCACACAGAAACACATTCAGTACTACCCCACATTAATGCAAGGAAGTGACAGTCTAATTGAAATCATTCCCTGCTTCATGGACCCCAATGATCCAGATTTTCCACTTGGCCTTCCCTAAAAATCAACAAATTACAGAGTAGCCAGATGAATCACCCCGCCTTTGAAACACACATGGGCATGGAGAGGTGCCTTCCACTCAAAAAATCCAGCTTCTAGTGACAGTTTATTTTAAGACTGAAGCATGGAAAGATGCTGAATGTTTTTTGTATGTTCATCTGTTTTTAAAACAGCTCGGTGGTTACATGCAAAGATTCATTAAATATCACAGTGTAATTTGAACCAGAAAGGGAAAGAGAAGGACTCACGTTGCAATGTCTCCATTTAGCCATGTCCAGGGCTGACCCGGGAATCTTCTGAGGCCAATCCAAAAGGGGTCCCTCCCCTTGAGAAGGTGTATAAAATCCTGTAATAATGAGAGAAAGTGCCTCTTCAAACCTTGAATGGCTACAAGACAAGGCTTAAGAGCACAGGAAAAAACATAATGTACAGTGGTGCCCCGCATAGCGAAGATAATCTGTGCAGCAAAAATCGCTGCAAAGCGATTTTGTTGCTATGCGATTTTAAAAAGCCCATAGGAATGCATTGAAACCCCTTCAATGCGTTCCTATGGGCTTAAAATTCATCTTAAAGCAAACATCCTCCATACGGCTGCCATTTTCGCTGCCCGGTAAGCAAGGAATCGGCGCGAAAACACAGCAGGTGGCCATTTTGTTTACCCGGTGGCCATTTTGGAACCGCCGATAAGCTTTGCGATAATCATCACTTTGCGATAATCGGTAAGCGAAACAGAGTACCGATCATCGCAAAGCGATTTTTCCCCATAGGGAACATCGCAATCTTCATCGCTATGCGGTTTCGTCATTAAACGGGGGGCCGGTTAAGCAAGCCACCACTGTATGTTTGAAAACAGAGTGTTGGCTGAATACAACCCTAACCCCCCTCCTTTTAAGCGCCGGTTAAGCGAGGCACCACTGTATGTTTGAAAACAATGTTGGCTGAATATAACCCTAACCCCCCTCCTTTTTTAAAAAAGGTTCCTGACTAATTGGGAGTTTCTCCTTCATCATGTACATGAGACTTAGGAAATACCTTTCACAAATTAAATGAAAAGTATTTTCTTGTCTATATCTATTGATATGCTAAAGGCATCTTCTAACTGGGACTCCAAGAACTTCTTTATTGTAGTTGAGAAGCCCCTTCATGTCCAAAAAAGAACAGCAAAGCAATATCCTACAGTACAGAGCCACTCTTGGCAATGTAAACATTTGCACCTCTTACATTTTCTTCATTTGTAATCCTTGCCAGGGAAGCATGATGTGAAGAGCAGAAGTCCTGGCTGGAGCTCCAGTTTCTCTCTTCCTTCGAAAAGTAATAGCAGTTTCCCTGATACCAAATCCAACGAGGTGGACATGGTGGAGAATGGTGTGGAAGGGGAACATCACCACCGGAGGGCTTCTTGTTTTGATCTGAGAAAGGAATACAGAATTAGAGAACACCTACAGGATTGACACAGCAGGCTTTGAAGCAGGAGCCCAGGGCCCCAAGCATCAGAAGGAGGGCCCCCAAATTCAGCAAGAATGGTTTATCCTATCAAAGTAAGTGGCATAAGAAGAACACATAGTAGCTGAAAGAGTCCAGCCCCTCCCCAAAAGACAAGGCCCAGAGCCTAACCATCTGAGAGATATGTTAACCTTTGAGAGGTATGTTCCCTCTGGGAACATCACGCTGAGCCAGAACAAGGCTTCTCTGTTAATGGGCTCAGAGAGATACAGACATGAAGAAACACCTCTTTATTAGATCAATAAAAGCTGCACCAATTATACTGGTGGCTGCCTCTCCCAAGGCGATTTCATGTTTGGAACTCCAACTCTCAAAACGCCATGGTGGCCTATGTGATTTGAGAACTCTCTGTTGTCCTATGCCATCAAGTTGGAACCGAATTATAGCAACCTTAATAGACCTTTCAAGGTGAGTACGTTATTTAAGAAGTGGTTTTACCAGTTCCACTCCCCCAGTGAGATGCCATGTTCTCCAGAACTGTGCTTTCCAGAAGGTATAACCTCTTCCCAAACAAATTTTTTTTTCCTCATCTTTACCCCCCCCCATTCCATGACTAGAAGCAATGTCAATTGACACACCTTGGCCCACTCTGGATACCAGGAGATTCCAAAATCCAGGGATTCTGGACATGGAAAAGAGGCAGCGGCTCAGGCAGAGCAGAGCACCAGGGAAACTCCCTGTCCAAAAGGATGGAATCTCCACTGGGCTCCCTGGTTTCTGCAGCAGCTGAGAGGGCTGGATCTGTTGTTCTAGTGGCCTGCTGTCAAAAGTTATATGAAGTGAAAGAGTGAATGGAAACATCTGAGCTACTTACAAATCACAGTGAAGATGATGCATAGAATAAGAATTAAAAGAACTACATTTCCAGCTGGCAGCTTCTTGGTCCACACTAAACCAAAAGGAGAAAAGAGAAGTGGTTCATTACTCCCGAACAGGGGAACCTCTGAGAAAGATTTTCAGGGGCAGCCTATAGTCTGAGCGGGAGGTAGCCGTCTCTCTACCCATCATTCTAGTAGCTGCACATGCTACATTCCTATTTTGTTAAAAAAATCTTATGTTTTTGTTGTTGTTACATGTCATTAGGTTTTCTCCCAAGGCCATGAACTCAACGATCTCTAAAATGTCCTGTCCTTAACAGCTGCTCAGCTCTTGTAAACTTAAATCTGTGACTTCCTTTAGGGAGACAATCTTTCTCATATGTTGTCTTCCTCTTCGCCTGCTGCCTTCTAAGTTTCCCACCATGATTGTCTTTTCCAGAGAACCTGACAGGTTTTGGGCAACCTGAGGAAATTGTTGAATGCAATTCTATAAGCATTAACAGGATCAGAGCTACAAGATATGTGTAGCTAGAGGTGGTACAGCTGAGCTGATTGAGACAGCTGAGAGAAGAACAACAGGATTGGTAAACCCTAGGATAAAGCTGGGAGAACTAGCTTACACACTTTGTTGGTTGTTGGGTTGGTTGTTGGTGGTGTATGCTGTGTCAGAGTTGCTGTATTGAAGAAGATCCTGGAAGCAGCCTATCTCCGAGCATATTGGGAGAAGAACTTGTGGCTTCAGGACTGCTCAACTGGTAAAAGAACTCTGGACTATTTACAAAAGGACTTTGACTGTGAATTATGTATTGAAACTGCTGAACTGCTATGCATGACCAAGGACTGTGAGACCAAGACTAAAGCTGTGTATATATGTAAAAATCCTGTAAATAATACAAGTAATACTTCTATCAGCACTACAAGTCGTTTGGTGTATTCATCCCAGGGTGCCAATAGCTACCAATAGTGCCACCTGGTGTATCTTGGAAACACTGCACCTCTGTCAGAACCTTGCCTTCTCATGATGTTTCCGAAGTAGGACACTCCAAGTTTTCTTATTTTTTGTCTCTAGAGATAGTTCCGGCTTGATTTGATCTAGGAATCCACTTGTTTGTCTTTCTGGCAGTGCAGGGTATCTGCTAAGCTCTCCTCCGATTCATATTTCAAAATGTATCCATTCTCTTCATGCCAGTTTTCTTAATTCTCCAGCTTTCCAGTTTTCACACCCACTCATGGCGACTGGAAATACTAAAGTGTGCATGACCTTGGCCTTGGTCTTCAGGGACACATCGTTTCACTTAATGATTTTTCTAATTCCTTCACTCCTCCCTTTCCTAGTCTGTCTAGTGAATCCTTGGCTGCAGTCTCCATTTGGATTGATGATTGAACCAAGGTGTACAAAATCTCTAATTGTGAGACCGGCCCTGATCCTCTGCTGGCAAAAGTCGGCTCTCCACCTTTCCGAGAGTCAGGCCAAGATTCCCGATACACAATTAACCTGTGGACTGGGACGTTAGTGGTGGAGATGCAGACAATGTCCTTGAGACCGCAGGTGTGGCAATGGAAGGGACGAGGAGGAGAGTGAGGGGGACAAGGAGGACTGTTGGGCTGACGCTGTGGACTAAGAGACGTTCGAGGCCCAGGAGGTACTGGCACTCCCTGAGTGCTCCACCACTGTCTGGAAGACTGTCCACTGCCATGATCCTAACATAGGGAATTGGGTGGACTTCCTGGTGTCACCCGAGGAAGCTGATAAGGTTCACAAAGAGGAGACCTGACAACAAGAAGTTTGGAAGCTGGAGAACCAACAATGGGCATGCTGCCCTCAAAGGAAGCAGCAAGGTCAAGAAGGGGGCTCCCAGCAAACCTGTTCAATGCCAATCTGGCGGCTCTCCGCCTGCACCTCCTCTTTTCATGCCTCACTATTCTAGAGAGCCTAGTCAGGTCTAGGGAGGAATACTGCACATATGGAGTGGCTGCTGCCAGCGGAGACTATGGAGGGGACGGGGTAGCAGGGGACGGAGCCCATGCTATGCTGCTTCAAGGACAGTTGAGTGCTCGTATTCGGCACTCGTGTTGTGGCACTCCATGTCTGGCCCACTAACGTGGAGTTCTGGAACTGGTAGAGGAGGTGAGATCCTGATTCTCCCAGTAAGAGACTGTGGAGGGGTTTCTACTCCCTTAAAGACTTTGGGAGTGAAGTCAACTCCCTGATGCCCTAAGTTTAAGTTTACTGTTGGCTCTTTGGCAAGTTTTGATTGCTCCAATAAATAACCTGGTTCTACAAGTATTTGTTGTGACATTATGGAGTGGGCTGCAGGGGCTGCTCACACTAAACTACTTCAATTTCTTCATCAGTTAACATTAAAGCTGTATACTTCTTGTTTTGTTTTTCATATTTGTTAGCATATTCTTATTTGGATTGTGACAAATTCAGTTTCTGTGGCTTGAAACAATTCTACTGGTATTCCATTTATTCATGGCAATTTATTTCTTACTAGTGCTTTCACCTCACTTTCTAGAATAGCAGGTTTTTCAGCATAGGATTCCTCTTCAAATGAGTCTGTCATCCTTTTATCTCTTCTGCAAAAGCCTTCAGTACATTGTTTCCACCTTCTCCTTATTTTCTCCTGGTAAGACAGTGTGCTGCCATGTTGGTCATTCCACATTCCTAATATTGGCTTCCCCTTTGATTTCTTGGATCCCCTTTTGTTGTTCTCTATTACTTTGTTGTTCTCTTATGCAGGTTTTACCTTCTTTTTTAATCTATAGAGGAGTCATAGAAGTAAACATAACATTGTATTTCTTTATTTCCATGTATATAAACTGGCTTGGATCCTGGTAAAGTTGACCACCTTTGTTCCTTCTGGAATCTATGAGATGTATGACTTGTTGCATTTATTTTTGGGGAGTAGGCACAATATCATTTACCTTACAGTAAAATCCTGTGTCTGCTCTCCCATAAGCAGACTCCATTGCGTTCAATGAGAATGTTTCCAAAATAATTTTATATATTGCAGCTGAATTTATATCTGATCCATTTTACTCTATTTTGTGCAAAGATCAGGAGGTTCTGTGGTTGGGGACAGCTCCTCCATGTACAGGAAAAGAGCCTTCGTCAGATGACAAATTGTCCACTGCACAGAGAGATGGCTTCTACCATATGGCAACTGCAAGAGCTGCTTGCCCATCGGCCAAGGATAACTACTATCTGGTGCTGATTGGATATTTGCCACAGGACTCCTCTGAGATGCCCAACGGGCACAATTACCTTTCTTTAGCTGGCGAAATGGGGGTTTACGAAGGAGGCTTTCATTTCGGATGGGAGCTGACGGTGTTTGGTCCTCGGCCTCAGATAAAGGTATGTCTTCATCTAGAACAAAAATGTTGATTCAGTAAAACGGAGGAACAAAAGAACCACCAGTAGAAGTAACACGTACAGGGATTAACTCATCTCTGCTCACATACGGTTTAAAACTCATTGCATCTTTCACTAGCCTTCCATAGAAGGTCAACCATCTACTGCCCAGAAGTTATCTCTCTCCTCAGCCTTCTTTTCTTTAGGTTAAACATGCCCAGTTATTTCTTGAAGTTGAGGACCAGCGGGGAACATACAAAAGCAAAGCACCATAACTTTACTGTGGGAGATTGGGAGCTAGTCGTGAATCCTTTCAAACATGGTGATCTTCATATTCTGTAGGAAAACCCCATTGTTATGAAGCAAAAGTTTAGGCTGTTAATTAAATGACATCTCTGAAAGTGGTGCTGTCTCTTCTGATCCTTTTATGTTTTGCTGTGAAGCAGCTTTCCCATTTAAAGCTTCACACTACTACATTTCTGGAAAACTATTCTACAGAAAATTCTCATGGAAAGGGACTTCATACTCTAAGAATAAATAACATCCAAATTTTGAACAGCAATTTAACAAAACATATTATGGTCCACAAATCAGAATGCTCGTATATGGGATTGCTACTTTCCATCACCCATCAGTTATTCCTTTCCCAAGTAACACGTGCAGGGATTAATTCATCTCTGCTTACATATGGTTTAAAACTCGTTGGATCTTCCACTAGCCTTCCGTAGATGGTCAATCATTTACTGCCCAGAAGAACGACTTACTTACTGCCTTGCTGCCACTGCAGCACTTCCGGCCCATCTGGCAAGGATTGCTGCTATCCCCTGTACTTAGGATAGTTGCCACAGGTATCCTCTGGGATGAGTGCTGGGCACAATTACCTTGCTTGAGGTCAGGAAGGGATTTTGAAAGAAGGCGCTCATTTGGGATGGGAGACAACGGCGTTTGCTCCTCGGCCTTGGATAAAGGTATGTATCCATCTAGGTTGTGGTGATATTCTAAAACGCCACCTATGAAGAAGAAAAGAGGGGAGGGGTGAAACAGACAAAAAATGTTGATTCAATTAAAAAGAGCAACATAAGAACATTACAACAACAAAAAAGGATACCAACATACTTCAGTTGAAAACAGGAGCCCTTCTCCAGATCAACAGCCAGACAGGTGACATCTCTAGGCCAAGCTTTCAGATCCCAAAAGGCTAGGACATTGGTTTTGATTTCACTCCAAGTGCTTCCTTGGCATTAAAAAGGGTGGGACTGACTGCACTCCTATCAGAGTCCACTAGAGGGCAGACAAGCTCTCAGAAAATTGTCCTCTAACTGCAGTGATTCTTAACCTTGGGTTACTCAGGTGTTTTTCAACTGCAACTCCCAGAAGCCTTCATCACCAGCTCTCCTGGCTGGGATTTCTGGGAGTTGCAGTTCGAAAACACCTGAAAACCACTGCTCTAACGTTTAGTGCAACTACCTGATCAAATGCCATGGGATTTGCACACCTGTGAGGTGAATTCAAATTATTTGTACCAACTGCATGGTACAAAACACTGAATTGAATTGGGCCAGCCTTTTTTTGCTCCCAGAATGGCTTTTCTTTGCTGGTAAGCAAGGGCAATGCATTCATTTACCGACAGAGCAAAATGGTAAGAAGAGACAGGGACATCTTTCTTAGGGCCTCTGGAACTCTCTGGCTTTCTCCATAATCCAGCGCAAGTTAGCAATTTGGTCTCGAGTTCCTCTGCCTCTTCGGAATCCAGCTTGTACTTCTGGGAGTTCTCGGTCCACATACTGCTGAAGCCTACCTTGTAGGATTTTGAGCATAACCTTGCTAGCGTGTGAAATGAGTGCAATTGTACGGTAGTTGGAGCATTCTTTGGCACTGCCTTTCTTTGGGATTGGGATGTAGACTGATCTTTTCCAATCCTCTGGCCACTGTTGAGTTTTCCAAACTTGCTGGCATATTGAATGTAGCACCTTAACAGCATCATCTTTCAAGATTTTAAATAGTTCAATTGGAATGCCATCACCTCCACTGGCCTTGTTGTTAGCCAGGCTTTCTAAGGCCCACTTGACTTCGCTCTCCAGGATGTCTGGCTCAAGGTCAGCAACTACATTGTCTGGGTTGTCCGGGATATCCACATCTTTCTGATATAATTCCTCTGTGTATTCTTGCCACCTCTTCTTGACGTCTTCTGCTTCTGTTAGGTCCTTCCCATTTTTGTCTTTTATCATGTTCATCTTTGCGCAAAATGTTCCTCTAATATCTCCAATTTTCCTGAAGAGCTCTCTGGTCTTTCCTTTTCTGTTATCTTCCTCTATTTCTTTGCATTGTTCATTTAAGAAGGCCCTCTTGTCTCTCCTTGCTATTCTTTGGAAGTCTGCATTCAATTTTCTGTAACTTTCCCTATCTCCCTTGCATTTTGTTTCCCTTCTCCTCTCTGCTATTTCTAAGGCCTCGTTGGACAGCCACTTTGCTTTCTTGCATTTCCTTTTCTTTGGGATGGTTTTTGTTGCTGCCTCCTGGACAATGTTACGAGCCTCTATCCAAAGTTCTTCAGGCACTCTGTCCACCAAATCTAGTTCCTTAAATCTGTTCTTTACTTCCACTGTGTATTCATAAGGGATTTGGTTTAGATTATACCTGAGTGGCCCAGTGGTTTTTCCTACTCTCTTCAGTCTAAGCTTGAATTTTGCTATGAGAAGCTGATGATCAGAACCGCAGTCAGCTCCAGGTCTTGTTTTTGCTGACTGTATATAGCTTCTCCATCTTTGGCTGCAGAGAATATAGTCAATCTGATTTCGATATTGCCCATCTGGTGATTTCCATGTATAGAGTCGCCTCTTGTGTTGTTGGAAAAGAGTGTTTGTGATGACCAGCTTGTTCTCTTGACAAAACTCTATTAGCCTTTGTCCTGCTTCGTTCTGAACTCCAAGGCCAAACTTCCCTGTTGTTCCTTTTATCTCTTGGCTCCCTACTTTAGCATTCCAGTCCCCTAGAATGAGAAGAACATCTTTCTTTGGTGTCAGTTCTAGAAGGTGTTGTAAATCTTCATAAAACTGTTCAATTTCAGTCTCCTCAGCAGTGGTGGTTGGTGCATAAACTTGGATTATTGTGATGTTGAAAGGTCTGCCTTGGATTCGTTTTGACATCATTTTTGATTTTGTATCCCAGGATCCGTCCAATGCATTCCAATGAGAGAAAATTTAAAAAATCACCAAAAATTAAAGACGACTCCGAACAACACCAAATTAAGTTTGCATAGGGTTCAGGAGGTGGGCTAACGATTGCAAGCATTTAAAACCTGTTCCAAACATTGTAAGGCACTTTTAAATGAGCAAAAACGGACTTCGCAAAGCCATTGAAATGTGTTGAGTCGGCTTCAATACATTCCAATGGAGGAAACATTGTTTCACTCAACTATGTTTCCTATGGGTTTTTTCACTTAAAGACGGCAATCCATTCCAATTGGAATGGATTAACCGGTTTTCAATGCATTCCTATGGGAAATGGTGTTTCACAGAACGATGTCTCACACAACGTCGATTTTTTTGGAACCAATTAACATCATTGTGTGAGGCACCACTGTATGTAATTTCTCACTGTGACATTCAAACTGCCTATGTGAACTCAGAACTTTCTGAAACTATTTACATAGATATTCCATCTGGTGCAAAAGCTAAACATAGTAATACTGTGGAAGTTACAAAAGGCACTTTACGGTCTTCATCAATCTGGACAAAACTGAAACAAATGTCTAGATTCAGCATTGCAGAAATTAGGTTTTCTGAGTACAAAGGCAGATCACGGAGTTTACACTAGAGGAGAAGAAATCCTGATGATTTTTGTTGATGATTTAGCTTTTATTGGCCCTGATCAGAAGGCAGTAGATGTTTGAACAGGAAATGGCTAACAAATTTGCTATCAAGAGACTAGGTAAGATTAAAACCATGTTGCCATAAATATTGAACATTTGCCAGAAGGAGGATTTGCTCTACACCAGAGTAATAAAATTGCCTCATTGTTAGAAGCACAGAATATGAGTAAGTGTAACCCTGTTCCATCACCTAAGATTCCAGGTTATTTTGCTGAAAGTGAACAGAAAAGTCCTTTATTTAATGTTGAAAAGTATCAGTCACTTGTAGGATCTTCACAATATCTAGCATTAACCAAGAGACCAGACATTATGTTTTCTGTGAATATGGTTAGTAGATACTATGCAAAACCTACAGAGAAGCAGTGTAATGCGGTAAAACGTATCCTGAAATATTTGAAAGGTACAATGAACTTTGGTATTGTTGGTAACACTTTCAGGAGAACAGGAATTAAAATTTTATCCATACAGTGATTTTGCTGGTTCTACTGAGGACAGAAAATCCATGTCTGGATACGTAGCTAAATATGTTGACACTGTAATTTCATGGAGAACTAAGAAACAATGTTGTGTGAGTCTTAGCGCTTCTGAATCTGAATTCATAGCCTTACAAGAAGTTTGTAGTAATTTAATTTATTACGTAACATTGTTGAAAGGAACTAAATGTGCAGATGGATGGGCCTATAACTGTGATGGAGGACAATACAGCCTGTATTGAGATAGCTACATCGGAGAAAGTAAAAAGCAAGTCAAAGCATATTGACATCAGATTTTACCACATTATAGAGGCCGTAAAAACAAAACTAATAAAGTTGCAATGCTGTCCATCTTCAGAAAACCAAGCTGATGTACTCACAAAGCCTCTTACTTTCCAGAAGCCTAAGGAAGCAACAGAGGCACTTGGTGTTAAAGAAATAGGTGAAATATACTAACACAATTGTTATTTAAGGAGGGGATTGTTAGGTCTTTAAGAAGAAGAAATGTAATTAACAACTGGTTAGTGCAGGTGGAGTTATTTAGTCACTGCCTAGTGACAAGAAGGACACAGCTGTGTGGAATTAACTACCATGAGGTGAACCACTAATTTGATTGGTTGGAGGGGGTATAAATTAAGAGGCTGGTTAGTGTGCCCTTCACAGTTCTATTTTGACTGTTATGCTTACGTTCTGTCTGTTTGACTGCTGAATGCCTAAGTTTATGTTCCTGTGAGCACTATGTAAATATGTACAGTAAGTAAATATTCTCTGCACTTATTCCTGGTGTCTTCCTGTGTGCCTTATTACTGTATGTGGGAGCTTCCGGTCCAAACCTTTGTAAGGAAAAAGCTTCTGCGGTTACTTTTGAATGCTGACCGAAGAGGCACTTGGAGAGCTTGTCAATAGAAAGAATACTACCCCCACAGACCACACATTTCTTGAAGAGAGCCTTCCCAGCCACATGACTGGGCAAAGCTGTACTTATGGAGAAATTCAAGGAAAATGATGAGGTAAGAGTGGAGAAGCAACAAGTTGAAAGAGAAAGGAAACGTTAGCCTCGTGGCGCAGTGGTTAAACTGCTGTACTGCAGCCAAAACTGTGCTCACGACCCGGGGTTCAATACCAGGTAACCGGCTCAAGGTTGACTTGGCCTTCTATCTTTCCGAGGTCGGTAAAATCAGTACCCAGCTTGGGGGGTGGCGGCAATGTGCAGCCTGCATAATTAACTTGTAAAGTGCCCAAGGAGTGCTTGAAGCACTATGGGGTAGTATATAAGCAGCTTGCTTTGCTTTGTTTTTGCTTTTATTTGCTCAGCTGGAGGTATCTCTGAGGTGGAGAAAAAAGAACAGGGAACTCCCAATTTCTGCCAAAACATAGCTAGACAATCTTCTGGAATGTGGCTCTGTACAGACAGAAAACTTGTGTGTGTGTGTGATCCATAGAGACCATGATGAAGAACAGTGATTTTGCAAAATGCATCAGAAATCAAAATAATTCCATACGGGATCACCACTTCCCACCACCCATCCTTTCCCTTTCTTCCAAGTAACACGTGCAGGAATTACCTTATCTCTGCTCACCTATAGTTTCAAACTAGTTGACGCCTCCATGAGGCAACAAAAGAGCGTTCCTCGAATAGCAAATCATCTACTGCACAGAGAGGTGGCTCTCTTTCTGACTCTTTGCCATTGCAGGAGCGGCTTAGCCATCCCCCAAGGATTGCTGCTATCCCTTGCTGTGAGGATCTTTGCCACAAGAGTCCTCTGGGAGCCCAATGGACACAATTACCTGGTTCTGAGTCAAAAACGTCTTCCTGATTATGGCTTCTGTTTCCAATGTGAACTGGTGTTTGCTGCCCTGACTCATATAACGATATACCTTCATCTCGACTCCAAGAAAGTTCTAAAATAAAAAGAGGACAGGGAGAAATAGACCAGAGATGTTGAATCACAAAACAGAGCAACAAAAGAACAGTTAAACAATGAAAAGGGATACCAACACCCTTCAGTTGAGAACATGACCCCTTCTCCAGATTATTTATTTATTTATTTATTTGATTTGTATCCCGCCCATCTGGTATGTCATACCACTCTGGGCGGCTAACAGTAAGGATATACAATTAAAATAACAATCTATAAACATCAGATACTAGCAATACTGACAATATACCAAAAATAATAAATGATAAATAGAAAAAAGGAAGAAAATTAAGTCAAATTAAATGCTGGCAGAGGTGACATCGGTAGGCCAAGCTTTCAGATCCTGAAAGAGTAGTCAAAGGCCTTCTGTCATATGAATGACAGGCCTTCGTCAGATGACAAATTGTCCACTGCACAGAGAGATGGCTTCTACCCATATGGCCACTGCAAGCGCTGCTTGCCCATCAGCCAAGGATTACTGCCATCTGATGCTGATTGGATATTTGCCACAGGGCTCCTCTGAGATGCTCGATGCGCAGAATTACATACCTTGCTTTAGCTGATAAAGGGATTCACGAAGGAGGCTTTCATTTTGGATGAAAGCTGATGATGTTTGGTGCTTTGCCTCAGATAAAGGTATGTCTTCATCTAGAACAAAAATGTTGATTCAGTAAAACGGAGGAACAAAAGAACCACCAGTAGAAGTAACACGTACAGGGATTAACTCATCTCTGCTCACATATGGTTTAAAACTCGTTGGATCTTCCACTAGCCTTCCGTAGAAGGCCAGTCATCTACTGCCCAGAAGGACGACGTACTTACTGCCTCGTTGCCAAATTGGATCTTCCACTAGCCTTCCGTAGAAGGTCAACCATCTACTGCCCAGAAGGACGACTTACTGCCTTGCTGCCACTGCAGCACTTCCGGCCCATCTGGCAAGGATTGCTGCTATCCCCTGTACTTAGGATAGTTGCCACAGGTATCCTCTGGGATGAGTGCTGGGCACAATTACCTTGCTTGAGGTCAGGAAGGGATTTTGAAAGAAGGCGCTCATTTGGGATGGGAGACAACGGCGTTTGCTCCTCGGCCTTGGATAAAGGTATGTATCCATCTAGGTTGTGGTGATATTCTAAAACGCCACCTATGAAGAAGAAAAGAGGGGAGGGGTGAAACAGACAAAAAATGTTGATTCAATTAAAAAGAGCAACATAAGAACATTACAACAACAAAAAGGGGTACCAACATACTTCAGCTGAAAACATGACCCCTTCTCCAGATCAACAACCAGACAGGTGACATCTCTAGACCAAGCTTTCAGATCCCAAAAGGCTAGGAGATTAGTTTTGATTTCACTCCAAGTGCTTCCTTGGCATTAAAAAGGGTGGGACTGACTGCACTCCTATCAGAGTCCACTAGAGGGCAGACAAGCTCTCAGACAATTGTCCTCTAACTAACACAGCAGTCCCCAACCTTGGGCCTCCAGATGTTCTTGGACTACAACTCCCAGAAGCCTTACCACCACCTCTGGGAGTTGAAGTCCAAGAACATCTGGAGGCCCAAGGTTGGGGACCACTGCTCTAATACAGTGGTTCTTAACCTTGGGTTCTTCAGGTGTTTTTGGACTGCAACTCCCAGAAGCCTTCACCACCAGCTGTGCTGGCTGGGGTTTCTGGGAGTTGCAGTTCAAAAATACCTGAGTAATCCAAGGTTAAGAACCACTGCTCTAACGTTTAGAGTGCAACTACCTGATCAAATGCCATGGGATTTCCTCCACCTATAAGAGGTGAATTCAAATTATTTGTACCGCCTGCATGGCACAAAACACTGAATCGAATTGGGACAGCCTTTTTTTGCTCCCAGAATGGCTTTTCTTTGCGGTGCTCAGAGCTTCTACTTTCTCAAGCTAGAATGATTTGAACGGGCTTCCCCCTGTGGTTAGTTGTCATATATTCTTCTAAAGATTTGGGTGGGGGGGGGTATGGGTGCATGTGATGTTTTGGAGACATAGGCATTTGGGGCATGATGTTCAAAACTGGCAAGCTGGGGCAAAGAAAAGAAAGTGATGAAGTTTTAATGAGGATTTCAGGTTCTAGACCTGAATCCTTTGAAAGTCAGTGAGCCTCTGGTCCCTTAAATGACATTTCTGAAAGTGATCCCACCTCTTCTGATCCTTTTACAGTTTTCTGTGAAGTCAGTGTCTCATTTAAAGCTAGCCATTGATAGTAAATAAAATGATCACTTGGTCTTTGTAAAAAAAACACTAAAGAACTGTTTAAAACACACCTAAAATAGAATAAATTCACAATTCTTAGACATATTGGTCCTTGTTATCTAAATTTCTACTTGACTCTTTATTTTTTTATATCATTCTTAAACTTGACAGATATTTATTCTAAAAAATCTATCTCATTTAACATTCTAACACTATGACATATTTGACCCTAACATCTATCATCTATTTAACATCTATCTGACAGATTACAGTGATGCCTCGCTTAACGGGCGCCCCGTTTAACGACGAAATTGCATAGCGATTAACTTTTTGCGATTGTTTTTGCGGTCGCATTGCGATGTTTTAAATGGCAAAAAATCGCTTTATGATGATCGGTACCCTGCTTCGCTTACCGATCGTCGCATAGCGATGATTTCCCAACAGCTGATCGGCGGTTCCAAAATGGCCATCGGGTAAAAAACATGGCCACCCGCTGTGTTTAGGGATGGATTCCTCGCATACTGGGCAGCGAAAATGGCCGCCGTATGGAGGATTTTCGCTTAAAGGTGAGTTTTTTGCCCATAGGAACGTATTGAAGGGGGTTCGATGCATTCCTATGGGCTTTTAAAAATCGGTTAGCGGTGTTTTCGGTTAGCAGTGATTTTTGCTGCACAGATTAACATCGCTAAGCGAGGCACTACTGTATATCCTACTACATATTTGCCCTGTTTGGCCCTATCAACCCCTATCAGACCTATATCTGAGAGACTGCTCACCTACACTTGCTTTCTATATTCTCTGGGCGATGCCAGACACACACTGATTGGTCAGAATGTCACTGTGCAAATGTCATGTTCTATACCTTCTCATACAAACACCCCACCCACAACACACACATGCGCCGGTACACTCATACTGTGATGTACAATTAGATATTTCTACAATGTTGGCAGAGGTGGGACTAGAAGAAGGAAAGAAAACAGAGCTGTGGGGTGGAATGCAAATGACATATCATCCAGTATGAATAGTGAACTTGCAAATTGATCTGCAGCCCCTTATGTGAGCATTAACAGCAGTTTCAAACATAATACAGGCTGTGAATCAAATTGCAGCAAAACTGAATCACTCCAATTTGGCTTTCCAATATAGTCGCACCCTAACAGTTATTTGAAGTTACCTCACACCTGTGTTTCTTTCCCATCTTCACTGCCGTGCACTTCTTTCATCCCATCCTACACTTCTCTCTGCCTTCCTGGTTGTTTGCCTTGTGAAACTCTCAGGGATTTCCTCCTGCTTCATGCAGCCACATGGTTTCTGACATCACTGAACTTAACATAATGTTTGCCCATTCAGATGGAATGTCAAGAGTGACTGCATTTACCTTCCTGAACTCTCAACTGTATGCCCAGTAGAATCTGCAGAATGTCTTTGTCATCACAACCTGGACTGTTCATTTTATTCTTTTGCACTGTTATCTGGCACTTTTAAGATCAGCTGACACAAAGAGTTTTGTTCTACTTGGATCTTGAATTGCTCAAAGTTGTTTTGGAACGGAACATGTTTTGTCTTTTTTTAAAAAAAATTGTCAGAGAATGGCTCTACTACTTACTTCTAGGCACCAGGTCTATTAAGATGGATACTCATGTTGTTTCTGAACAGCCTCCAAGCATCTGTTTGGGGAGATCTGGGGTCTCTCCACCTGCGCCCAAACCTCTCAACTATTTCTCCACCATACATAACAGTCCTTTGGAGTCGTTAATAAATCAATGAGGTGATTTTTCAAGGCCAGCTAACATTCCATCCCTAGGCTGTGCTGTATAAGTGCAGAAGAGACTACAGAACACTCAGGTACATAAAAAAACACAACAGGAAGATATGAGATCAAGCCCCATCTCTATTAGACTACATGAAAAAGTTTATGAGGAACTGTACTCGGTGCCTCTCCTCTGAGACAATCTCTTCCTGCACATAATCCTCTGCCTCAGCTTCCCCGGACAGGTTGCCGCCACTTGCTCTACTTGCCCTGGCAGGAGGAGGGGGCGAGTAGGATCTCAGGATCAAAAGGGATCAGCCAACCAGGCTCCCAACACTGGATTACATTCCTCTCTTTCCCTCTCTGCCAGTCACGGGGTAAGTGTGACCAGATCAGTCTGAATAACTGGGCAAGCCATCCAGTCCCTGAAGATGTGAACATATCCAGCCCAAGGTTCCCAATTCAAAAGGCTTACTAAAAAGAAGTAAATAAAAATAGAGTAAGGTCGGGTTGAACAATATGCCCTCCTGCTCCCTTGACCCTTTTATTGTTCAAAAAGGCCCTTTTAAGGGCATGGGGGCAATTTTGCTATATTTCAAGGGGCCCAGAGGGATAATCAGTGAAGGATGGGGAACCTTACCTCCAGCTTCAACATCAGGGTTCTCTGATCCACTTTTTTCATGTCTGCCATGGGTTTTTATTGAATGAAGAAAGTACCAGGATAATTAAACCTCACCCCACACTTTTGAAGGCAGAAAGGCTGATTAGTGCTAAGATATTAGCAAAATTCTTAAGAGAAAAAAAGCAAGCCATGGACTATGAAGGATTCTGCCTGTTTAGACATGCGTCTTTGCAACCCATGCACACACACACGTAATGCTTGGAAGCAACTAATTAATTAACTGCTTAAGTAACTAATTCATCGATTTAGAGGCAGCTCCATGACTAATCCAGTGCTTTGAAGTAACTTAACTATGAAAAAAAATTATTAAACCTCCATCCTTCAGGACTTTTTTTTTTTAAAAAAATTATTGTTTACTTGAGACTGAAAACATCTGCCCAGAGCTTGCTCTGGGAAGTGCTAAACTCCACCTTCTGCAATGGACTGAGGTAAAAATTATGCCTATATTTCAGGAGAGGACCAAAAATAAAAAAAAAAAAAAAAAAAAAAAGTAAGGGAAGGCACAGAGTTTGCTGCAGTTTGCCACTGTTTTTATGAAAACAAGAATTCTATCCTAGAGATGGGAGGAAAAATACCTAAGCAATCAACTCAGAATGAGGCACTTTTACAAGAACAAACCTCTCTGTGATTGAGCCCTGGGGAGAGAAGATGCAATTACTGTACCTGTCTCCTCGTTTTCTTCATCGTAATCACTGGAAAGGTTGCAGTTGTGCTTCAGATCAGACATATTTCTTGAAAGACCCCTCTGTCCTTTATTATGATGTTTGGCTATAAATTTCCGAAAGCTTTTTTTACACACATGTGAGGAGAAAAACCACTCTTGCAGAACTTGTGATCTTCGTTCACCTAGAATTACAAACAAAGCCATAAAAGAAGGATAGGCTAAAAGTGTTCAGAGCAGATTCTTCGAGAGCAGACTGAGGACCACTGCACACCACAGGGCTTGACACAAGGAGAAGGGATAGCAACCACATTGATCAACAACACTCTGTAGACCAGAGCACAGAGTGCTACTCCTGTCCTCTGAAGATGCTGGCCACAGAGACTGGCGAAACGTTAGGAAGAACAACCTTCAGAACACGGCCAAAGAGCCTGAAAAACCCACAACAACCATCAGATCCCGGCCGTGAAAGCCTTCGCGAATACATTTAACATGCTGTAGTGGTTGACATCTCCTGGTGAGAGGGAGGAAGGGGGGGAGGCCACAGGTGTTGGCACGAGGAGGGGCTCTATGACCCTTGAAATGCAGCATCAGTTCCACAGCAAGGAAAGAGCATAAAACTCTTCAGATCTCCCCAAGACTGAAATGCCTTCCTTCGAGGTGTCCCTAGCATGGCAGGTGGGGTGTCCCGAGATACCTCTTTTGTCACCAGGGGACAGGCAACCTTCTAGGTAATGAATACACAGAAGTAGTCTACCATTCCCCTTCTTCAGGGCCATTCTGTGGGACTGTGCAGCTTGCCCAAGGCCACACAGGAGGCACAGCAGGGAATCCAACTCCCAGCCTCTAACTCTGCAGCCAGAGTCTGTTGTCTGTTTGCATTCACTGGTGGAAATTGGAAAGCCAGGAATATAAAGTACATTTGCCAGAAAAGCTTAGATCCCACTTGCTTTTCAACATTGCCTCCTTTAGTCAGCCAGACACCACCATGATATGCTCTTTCTTTACTTTGTGTTCACTCTGCCTCTCTGGACTTCCTCTGGCCAAGGCTGGTGGTGTGTTCCATCCAAACCAATTCCTGATTTTTCAGCTATGAAATCCATCTCCTTCCTAGAAGGACACTATTTGCTCTCATCCAGTCCATTATTAATGGCAGACACAGGTTTAGAACAGGAACTGCTTCCATGGAATTAGGTAGAAAGGAGAGATAGAGTTGGGTGCCATCCACATACTAATGAAACCAAATTCAAAACTGGATAACTTCTCCAGTGGTTTCAGGTAGATATTAAATGGCACAAGGATCAAAACAGAGGGACACCACAGTCCAACAGCTACAGCAACAAACAGGTCACCACTACATTCTGAGTTTTTCCCTCCAGGACATGCCATATGCCTCCAAGTACCATCCCAGATGGACAATTCCATGATCAATGGTATTGAAATCCACTGAGAAGTCCAGCAAAAACAACAGTTTCTGATGACCAAAGCAGTATTTTCCCCATAAACAGGCCTGAAGCCAGATTGAAGTGGATCTAGATAATCTGTCTCATCCAGGCACCTCTAGAGCTGAGAAGCCATAACCCGCTCTAGCACCTTTCTTAAAAATGGAATATTAAATACTTAGTAGTAATTATTCAGTATTGTGGGATCCAAGGAGGGCTTTTTCAACAATGATTGTACTATTGCCTCCCTCTGACACTGTGACCAACTGCCAAAATCGAGGTAGGCAGCCCAGCTGGCCCTCCACTCTGAAGCTGGTGCTTCTGAACGCCAGGACTGTATCCAATAAATCCAAGCTTATACAAGACCTTATTCTGGATGAGGATGCAGACCTGGCATGCATAACTGAGACCTGGATGGGTAGGGAAGGAGGGGTCCCTTTGACCCTTTCCTGCCCTCCGGGTTATGCAGTGCAGCACCAGGGCAGACTGGAGGGGCGGGGGGGGAGTTGCCATTGTTTATAGAAAATCATTAGAGGTTACTAGGCGCTCCTCGCTTGTGAGGCCAGGTCTGGAGGCTCTCCATGTGTGGATTGGGGCCAGGGATGGTATTGGGATCTTGCTGGGTTACCGCGCTCCCAGCAACCCAGCCACCTCCCTACCGGAGCTGGCAGACTTCGTCTCCGCGGCACTGTTGGAGTCCCCGAGACTTTTGGTCCTGGGTGACTACAACATCCATGCGGAGGCA